AAGAAAACCAAGCAACCAAAAAAAAGATGGCAGTGCTTCGTGAGTCAGGTGACCTGCAGAATAGCGGTATCTTCAATGAGAAAGAAGCATATTTTGTTCTCACCTGGAAGTCCAAACTGATGTGGCGGTTCTGGTCTGCAGACATGACAGGGGCCAGGCTCCTTCTATCTTGTTGCTCAGCCAGGGGATCCAAGACGGCCCCATGCCTCAGGGAAAGGGGACCCAGCCCTGACCTTCAGGGCACAACCAGGAAGTTGCACACTTTAATTTACCCCACGTCCCTTGTCTAGAACTCTTCACACCGCCACACCACCCACAGGGGAAGCTGGGGAATATAGTGCTTATTCTAGTCAGCCATGGGCCCGGCTTGAAAGCGGAGATTCTGTTCATATGAGAGGGAAGAGGTGGATGGATGTTGGGGGCCCCCAGCAGGACCTGCCTCCATCACCTTACGAGAGAATGTCTTCCTCCTCTTGTGCTTGTCTTCCCCAACCTTCAGTGGACATTCCACCAGCCAGACAAGGGCAAGAAGTCAGTGTTTAACATTCCAGCTTGAAGCAGGTCCATTTGCAAAACCCGCCAGAGACCACCTACTGCGGTACAAGATTTCCAGGGCCACGTGCCCCCTTTTGCCCGGGTCCTATCTGGCATGGGACGGGTCTCCCTGCAGGGGCTTGTGACTGCCCTCGGCACACTGCAGTGTGTTCAGCTGTCCATTCTTCAGATGACCCTGGGTCACAAAATAAAAACACACTGGAGGCTGTTTTGGAGAAAGGATACCAAGGGATGAGTCTGTGGCCTGTTTGTTTCCAAACCTGCCCTAAGTCATCACTGAGAAGGTTGACACAAAAGACAAGAGAAATCAGGAGAGAAACACTGCATCCGGGAGTCTTCCTAAGGCAGGCCTGATCCTAAGCTTCACAGGTAGGGTTGCCATGGCAACCAGGACCCAGAAAATGGCCTGGAATGGAATAGGCTGGCCTGGATCTTCTGCTAGATGTGTCTGCACAGGCTCTTGAGGACAGAATGGGATCCCGGCATGCCACAGCAGTGTGGACAAATTCGGTGGTTTCTGGCCCTTAGACAGGCCCCGAGGGAATGGAGATCGGGAGAGAATGCTCAGAGGTGGCCATGTTCCCGGTTCTTGCTTTCTTCACCTGGCTAGCTCCTACTCATCCTTCAGAGATTAGTGTAGATGTCACTTCCTCCAGGAAGCCTTCCCTGGCCCCACCCCCTCCCAGCTATTGTTATAGAACCCCTCGCTGTGCCCCTCGAGCTCCTGGGGAAAGCACATCCTGGCAGCTTCCTTCTCCACCACCTTCCCAGTGCCCAGCCCACACCCCGCACCTGGATAGAGAGATCGTTTATTTTGTAGACTCACTTTGGAACCATTTCACTATTTTCTATAATTATAAAACACATTTGAAAAAGTAATTCCTAAAGTTTGATAGCAAACTGTTATGAACATAACTCTATGTTGAGCTGGCGGCATAACCAGGCAGAGAGAAGAATTTATTTACCCATATTTTCACTCTTTTTCTCTCTTCCTTCCTGATATTTCAGGATTTCTTTTTTTTTCTCTCTCTCTCTCTGTCCAAGAACTTCCTGGACCCTTTCTTTCAAGGTGGATCTGTGGTGACAGGTTCTCTTCCTTTTCCTTCATTTGAGACTGTCTTGATTTTCCCTTCATTCCTCAAGGATGTTTGCTCTGGATGTGGAATTCTCGGTTGACACACTTGAAAAATGTTATGCCACATCCTTCTGGCCACTAAAAATTGACAGACTTGTTCTCAGATTGATAGATCAATGCCAAATTTACCCATAGAAGCCAAAACAGTCTTGAAAAAGAGAATTTTTTGGAGAAGTTACACTACGTCATGTCAAAACTCACTGCGAAGCTCCAGTAATCAAGACAGGATGGAATCGGTTTAGGGTCCATACATCAGCGGAACAGACTAGAGAGTCCAGAAATAAACTCTCACATTTATTGTCAGTTAATTTTTGGCAGAGATGCCAAGTAATCCAGTGGAGAGAGGATAAACTTTTTACAGGGGTGCTCGCAGTACTGGATACGAAAAGATTAATTTGGACCTTTACCTCACCCTGTACCCAAAAATTAACTTACAGTAGGTCATAGACCTAAATGCAGCAGTAAAACTATGAAATCTTTAGAAAAAAACATAGGAAAGAATCTCTATGACCTGGGTTAGGCAGCGAAAGTGAGACCCCTGAAAGAAAAAATTGATAACTTAAAAGCTTTTCTGCTTCAAAAGATGCCGTTAAGAAAGTGAAAAGGCAAGCTACAGACTGGGAGGTCGTATTTGCATATCATAATTTGATAAAGAACTTGTGTCCAGAATAACAAAGGAACTCTTACAACTCACTAGTAAGAGGACAAACCTAACTTGTCTTAAAAATGGGCAAAAGATTTGACTAGATCTTCATCAAAGAAGATAAATGGCTGATATGCCCATGAAAAGATGCTCACCATAGTCATTAGGGAAATGCTACTTCGAGTCACCATGAGATGCCACTACATACCTGCTAGTCTGGCTGTAATCAGAAAGACTGGAAATACCACGTGCTGGAGAAACTGGAACCCTCGTGCATCGCTAGTGGGGGTGTAAAATGACACAGCCGCTCTGGGAAAGAGTTTGGCCGTTTCTTAAAAAGCAAGACATGCTCTTACCACATGTTTCCACAATCTTATTTCCAGGGATCAGCCCAAGAGAAACAAAAGCATATAGCCGCGCAAGGACCTGGACACAAGTGTTTACAGCAGCATTATCCATAGTAGCCAAAAATTGGATGTAGTGCATCTGTACCATGGAATACTATTCAGCAGTAAAAAGAAATGAACTATGGATACGCATTACAACAGGCATGGGCTTTTTAAGCGTTATGCTGAAGGAAGGAGGCCAGATCATATGAGTACATTTTGTATGATCCCATTTCTAGGAAATTTCTAGAAAAGGCAAAACTCTAGAATCAGCAACAGGTCAGTGGCTGCCTGACACTATGGGGCAGTGGGAGTTGACTGCAAATGGCCAGGAAGGAACTTTGGGGATGACAAAAATGTTCTAAAACTCCATTGTGGTGACGGTTGCACAGTTATATCAATTTACTTAAAAAATCATCCAACTGACACTTACACTGGAGGAATTTTATAGTATATAAATTATACCCCGAAAAACAGTTTTAAAGAGAAGCAGCAACAGCAGCATAGAGTCGTGTTGAAAACCCAGACGGGAGCCAGACTGCCTGGGTTCCAGCCCCAGCATTGTGGCTCGCTCTCTGTGTCGCCTTGGGTGCATTACTTAACTTTTCCGTGCCTCACTTTCCCCACGAAGAGCTCAGAATGGAACCTGACACACTCGAGCTCGCGGCTGTTGTTGCTGTGGCTCCCGCTTCTCTCTGGGCCCCTTTCCCGTTGGCCCTCCTCCTGTTTCTCTACCTGCCGCGCTAGTTCCTGCCTCAGGGTCTTTGCACCAGTGACTGTGAATACCCCTCCTCTGGATGTTTCCATCACTGGCTGCTTCTTAGCTTTCATGTCTCAGCCCACCGGTCACCTCAGAGGCCTTTCCGGACCAGCCTATCTTCAACGACACCCACCCACTCATTCGTGTCCTCATTCACTCATTAAATAGCGTTTTCTAGTAATGGTAGTGTTTCTATTCCCATCCCATAGATGGGGCAACTGAAGCTCAGAGGGTAAAGTCACTTCATTCATTTATTCAAAACGTAATTATTACCACCTCAAACCCCTTAGGACGGCTACTGTCCAAAAAAAGCAAAAAATACGTGTTGGCGAGACATGAAGAAATTGGAACCCTGGTGCACTCTTGGTGGGAGTGTCAAATGGTGCAGTTGCTGTGGAAAACAGTATGATTGTTCCTCAAAAAATTAAAGACAGAATTACCATATGACCCAGCAATTCTACTTCTGGGTGGATACCCAAAAGAGCTGAAAGCAGGGTCGCAAAGAAACATTTGTACACCCGTGTGTTCACGGCAGCGTTATTTGCAACAGCCAGAAGGTGGGAGCAACTCACGTGTCCATCAGCAGAGGAGTAAATGAACGGGATGTGGTCTACACTTAGAATGGATCACTATTCAGCCTTAAAAGGAAAGGAATTCTGACACAGGCTACAGCGTGGATAAACCTTGAGGACATTGTGCTGAATGAAATAAGCGCGTCTCAAAGGACAACTACTGTATGATTCCACTCATACAAGGCCCCTAGAGCAGCAAAATTCATAGAGACGGAAAGAAGAATGGTGGCTGCCAGGGGCCGGGGGAGGGGGATGGGAGTCAGTGTTTAATGGGTACACAGTTCCGGTTTTGTGAGGTGAAAAAAGTTCTAGAGATGGATGGTGGGGATGATGCACAGCCATGTGAATGTACTTAATGCCCTGAACTGCACACTTAAAAATGATTAAAACGGGGCCGGCCCAGTAGTGTAGCGGTTAAGTTTGTGTGCGCCACTTTGGGGCCTGGGGTTTGCCGGTTCGGATCCTGGGTGTGGACATGGCACCGCTTGGCATGCCGTGCTGTGGCAGGCGTCCCATATATAAAGTAGAGGAGGATGGGCACGGATGTTAGCTCAGGGCCAGTCTTCCTCAGCAAAAAGAGGAGGATTGGCAGCAGATGTTAGCTCAGGGCTAATCTTCCTCACCAAAAAAAGGTTAAAATGGTAAATTTTATGTTATGTACGTTTACTACAATTTCTTTAAATAAATAATTTTTTTAAAACATGATTATCGAGTACCAGAAAGTGTTGTGTGCTATCTTGTTTATTTCTCACCACAGTCCTTTGATGAAGGTGTCATTTTGTTCATTATGGAGAGCACTGAGGTTCAGAGACATCTGGTAACTTGCTGAGGCCACAGGTCTGTGCCAGCCAGTCAGTCCTCACGACCCCAGCTCTCCACTGCATGCCTGTCCTCCATGCCCCCTCGGACTCTGACACAGCTCACCTGTACCCTGTTCCTCCTTCCGCAGGCACGGCGGGCATCTACCAGGGAGCCAACGGACTGAGCAACGCGGCCGGGTTCGGGAGTGTGCACCAGGTAGGCGTAGCTCCCCGCTGGTTGTTCCCTCCATTCTTTCCTTAAATCAGGGCGCCCAGAGAGCCCACTCGTGCCCACGATCCCCTCCAGAAACCCAGCCTCTTATTCCCTGCATTTGGAGACTACAGGAGCCAGATTGTGCCAAAGGTCATTGGAAAGACAGAGTGTACAGGCAGAGAAATGAGAATTCCTAGAAGATTTCCAGAAAGACACAGACGGTATCACATGCTCCATCTTGACCTGAGCCCAAGACCCCCATTAACTGTTGACTCTAGAATATGCGAATGCAAAGGCCGTGTGCTTTTCGCCAGGCCCTGAGCTGCTCAAGGGTGCAGATGCATCTTCTGGCCTCTGCATCCCAGAGTCGAGTGCCCGGCGCACAGTGGGGGCTTTACAAGTGTTTTTTCTATAGAACTCAGTCACCTGGAAAGATGAGTAGTGTGATTCTCTTGGTTTCACTTCGAGAGTGAGTTAAGAATTAACCTGCTAAGGGCGTGTGGGGAGCCTGTACTGTTTGTGTACCTTTCCTCTCATTCTCCAGTTATTTCACAGCCAAAGGTTAACCTGCGTTCAGGCTAGCGTTTCAACAAAACTGCCCTGAGGAGGGGGCTTTAGGGATATTTAAAATCTTGAAATATGAGGAATGCACTGTTTCTTCCTCAGTGAGCTGAAGAATCTAAATGAATGAAACCTTGGAACGTAAGAAAATTGTTTCCTATAAGTTGATATTATTCCAGTGTCTTATATACATAGATAAAATACTTGTAAATGAGACAGTACTTTTTACTGTGTGTTCTTCACCCTGGGTGTCTGTCCTTTTCACCGTAAGAGCTTGTCAAAAACACAGCCTCCCTAAATGCCCCCCCTGGGAATTCCGATTCTGTAGGCCTGGGATGAACTTTCCTGGGTGGACAGGGTGAACAGGAAGCTGGACTTTCCCTGAGTCTCTTGCAAGCTGAGAAGCGCTGGTTTCTGGTGCCGGTGGAGCAGAATACTTGGAACAATGACTGTGTGGGAGAGTGGGAACCTCTCGTTGGTTTAAGCACAGCTTGATCAAAGAGGATGGGCGTTCTTCGGTTTATTCTCCAAGATTCCTCATACAAGACTCTGGGTCCCTAGTGCTGTGTGGGTGCTGCGTACTTGCTCCCGTCACGAACCTAAAGCATCATCTAGTCTCCTGGGTACATGCGTGTGGTCTGTATCACTCATCCATTTGTTCATTAATTTATCCAGTATTTATTGAGCTCCTGTAGGTGCCCCACACTTTTCCAGGCACTGGGGATACAACCGTGATCAAGATGGCTGCCATTGGGTCCACCCCCACGTCCCTCAGGGTGCCCCTGCTGACCTCCAGCTGCCAGTCTCTGCGTCCCTGGGCCCAAGGGTGTTTTCCAGAACCAATGATGGCACAGGCAGGATCTGCTGGGGGATTAAAACCCCGAGGGGAGGTGGGCAGCTCTAAACAAAGACTGGCTGGTGTGTAAACACCCCGGCTCGCTTGCCGCTGGACGGATCATTCTGAGATGTGTGTTTTATCCGATCCCAGCATTTGCCCCGTAGAAGTCAGCCCCAGTCCCCACTCAGAGGCCCCCGTACTGGCTGCCCTCCCTTCTTCCCTTCACTGTCTCCCTTCCCCAAGCCCCAGCGGGTGCCCCCTTTCCTCGCAAATGTGCTACTTGTGCTTGAATCCTTGCCTCAGGTCTGGGGGAAGTCCCTGCCCTCATACCGCTCTTATTCTAATGCGAGAGAGACTCAGAGACCCACCCCACGAGGCCCCTTGCCCTCATCCGCCTGTGGCTGGGCCCACTGAAGGCCCAGGCCCGGACAGGCTGCCTCACTCACCACCGTGTGTTTTTCCCTTTCCAGGACTATCCTTCCTACCCCGGCTTCCCCCAGAGCCAGTACTCCCAGTATTACAGCTCATCCTACAGCCCTCCGTACGTCCCAGCCAGCAGCATCTGCCCGTCCCCCCTCTCCACGTCCACCTATGTTCTCCAGGAGGCATCTCACAACGTCCCCAACCAGAGTTCTGAGCCACTTGCCGGTACGTACACTCACTGTCATTTGGTCATTCATCCCTGTGGTCTGAGCTCTTATACGAAGGATGGTTGGGACATGGGTCCCTATTGTGATGAAATGGTCACCCAAGGGCTAAATCCAGCCCTCAGACAGGTTTTCATGGCCTTTCTGTGTGTGTGTGTGTGTGTGTTTAATTGCACTCATGTTTAAAAGTCAGAAATTTTTACCTAAAAATTATCATTTCTGCTTTCTCCTGAAAGAAGATCTGGTCACTCTAGGTCCACATTCCAAGTGATAAGCTTGGCTGGAGCCGAGTCATATCTGCCCCCTTTAGACAGGCACTCACGATTCCACGTCCCGCCAGCTCCCCTCACGTTCATTACCTGCCCGGCCCGTGTCGGTGCTGCATTTTCTGAGTCCCGGTCCTCAAGGAAAGGGAACTGGGATTTATTGCTCATCCACAATGAGCCAAGCACATACCCATGTGGTCTTCTCTAATCTCTTATTTACGTACTGATTCAACAAATGTTTATTAACTATGCGCTGTTTTCCAGGTAACCCTTAATTTGAGAAATAAAGTGAGGTGTAGACTTGATCTTTGCAGACGGTAATCAGACGGCCACACAAATACCTCATTACAAGCTGTGACAAAGAAAGTCATAACCCTCACAAAGTAGGCGCTCAATTGCCCGTCTTTTCCAGATAAGAACCATGAAGATCAGAGAGATGGGTGACTTACTGGTAATTGGTGGGGCTGGGATTTGAACCCAGGCCCGCTGGACTCCATAACCAGTGCTCCCGCCCCTCATAGCCACACACAGCTGAGACTGTGTTCTCTAAAACCCATTTGAGAACACAAGGGCAGAGCCCTTCAAACCTTGGTTCTCTCTCTAATCCAGGTCCTCGAGAATTCTAGAATCTTTCACAACACCCTTAAGCACTTGCCTTTCCAATGGCTCAACAGTTTTAGGAAACCCTTTTGTTAGTCAGGACTTTTTGGCTTCAAAGATAGAAAATTCAATTCAAACTAGTGTAAGCAAAAAAAAAAAGGAGTTTTTAGATGTATGTAACCAAGATGCACAGGGATTCAGGGCTGCGTCCAGGGGCTCAGATGACATTGTTGGGACTCCATCTCTCTCTTCCTTCTGGCTCTGCCTTTTCCTGGGTTCGTTTCACCCTCAAGCAGGCTCTGGCTCTCTGGTGGCAAAGATGGCTGCCGGCTGCTCCAGGATCCAGTCCTGCCTGCTATCCACCCTGGCAGAGAGATAGTTCCTCATTCCTAATGGTTCCTGCAGAAGTACTAGCTCATGCTCCCATTGGCCCAGCTTAGGTCAGATGCCCGTTCTCAAACCAGTCTCTGTGGCCGGTGGGATGGACTGCCAGGACAGGACAGCAGACCTTGTTCTCATGCCCACACCTAGAGCTGGAGTTGGGGTCAGCCCCACCCAGATCACATGGACTGAGAGTGAGCGGGAGGTGATTTCCCAAAGAAACCCACAGCACTATACCCAGAAGAAGACGGAAGAGGCACTGAGTGGGCAAAACTCACAAATGTCCACAACTTTGCTATGGATCCCGCCTAGATTATGAGCAGCATGTGGCAGAGTCCACAGCCTGGCCCTTTGGTGATGTACATCCCTGTGCAACTCACCAGCCTATGGATTCATTCATTCATTGCGCAAATCTGCTATGCACATGTCTGTCTTTTATGAGATGCTTTGGGTTTATCAACATTAAATGACATGACAGCAGTAAATTAGGCCGTCCAAAAGAAAAATAGATATCCTTGTGTTTTGTTCTTTTTTTCTTCTTTTCTGAAACCTACTGATGTTCTGGAGCTTTGTAGAAACTAAGCTAGCGTGATGGTATGTGGACATTCATTCAATAAATATTACTTGATTGATGGTTAGAAAAAGAGCAATAGTGAAGACCCACCTCATTCGTTCCTGGGGTTCTCTATGCAGCTGTTGCTTTCAGCCCTTATGTTTTCCACCACTGGGGGTGGGCTGGTTATCCTTGGTTTGGTGATCGATTGAGACAATGTGACCAAGCATTTTTAAGTCAACTTTTGGGGAAATTTAGGGCTTGAGCATTGATTCTGGTCACTGTGATCTCATCACAGAGTATTTAATGAGTGCATAGTATCTATCTAACAGCTTCCAAAGCGCTTTCTTTGAAGGGTGTGAAATTTAACAAACTTTCCTTTGTCATAATCCTGAATTGTCTTCGACCGTCCCTCTTTTCAGAAAGTGGCCTCTCGGAATGCTTTGCAAAAGAGAAACAAAAAACTAATGAGAAATTAGGGCAGAGAGGAAATACAAGCAGGAAATCTTCAAGTAGATGCCACTATCTATAATTAAATGGTGAACCAGATTCCAGAGACTTACTTCCCAAGAATTTGGGTTATGCGCGAAAGTCATCTTTGTTCCCCATCAGGAGAGAATATAAAGGTTCATTGTGCCTCTTTGAAATTTTTCTTTATTGTTTCCTCCTGTTCTTCTTTTATCCCTTGGTCTAGGGTTCAACAATAAGTGGTTGAGATGGGTTTTACTGTGTGTCTAACAAGCTCACATAAAATCTAATGACATAAATAATTGTCAGCTATAACCAAGGTCTCTTGCCTCTTTTCCCCAGTGTCCATTATAAAGGAAGAGCATGTAAGAATATGTGTGCACACACACACATGCACACACACACACACACACACACACTCATGCACTGTCTTAAAATTTCCCATAAAAACCACTTTTGAAATTAGCCAGGATCTCCTTGAGTGGTTGGTTCCAAACTCCAGAGGCTCAAGAGGTTTCCGTGTTACTGACAGATCATGTTGACTCTTTGTGTTGCCCGGATACGGTGTCCTGATGCTCCTCTCCAGGCCCAGCCCCCAGCCCCGCCGCAGGACCGTCCGCGGCGACATGCATTCAGTTATCTGAAGCCCCAACAATTTGCAGATGATTGCAGGGCAATTTGCTGATGAAGAGAGCAAAAGCTGAACATCTGACGTTACTCAAGAAAAAGACAAATCAGTAGTGCTTGTTTCAGGACTTTTTTCTTTTTAAATTTTTGAGTATGATACAAATTATCTAAAAAGAAGTTGTAGGAATTTTTTAACTTCTTAGATCGTCTGCTTCAGTCAATAGAAGGAGAAATTGTTTTGAATCTCTCCAGAAGAAGCTTGGCAGGCTCTTTTCTGCAATTTGGCGACATCTAGCACAATTAAAAACGCATGTCCTCTTTAACCCAATTATTGCACTTCTAGGAATTTATCGTAAAGAGAAACTCCCACATAGGTACAAAGATGTAAGTAAAAAGAATATTTGTGGTAGTATCGTCATAGCAAAAGACTGGAAACAACCTGAATAGCTATTAACGGGAGTCAGGTTAAATAAATTATGGTGCATCCATCAGTGACACACTATACGTCTGTTAAAAAGAGTAAAGTAGATATATTTACATTAATACTGATCTCTCTTGGAACTATTATGTTAGGTGAAAAAAAGCAAGGTGCAAAACTACGGCTATAATAAGATCCTGGGTTTTTTAAAAATACTAGTTTAATACTCATATTTGCATAGGAAATTTCTGGAAGGATGCAAAAGCAACTGTTAACAGTCATTTTCTCTGGCAAGGGAACTAGAGTGAAAAGAAAAGACTAGATGTAACCAACTATCCATAGGCCACTCCACGCAACACAGCAAAATGCACATTTTTTTCAAGTGCACATGAGATGTTTACCAAAATAGACATATTCTGGTTCATAAATCAAGTCTCATTACATTTAAAAGGATTCAAGGCATGCAAAGTATGTTCTCCAAAAACAATGGAATTAAATTAGAAATAAATAACAGAAATATTTCTGGAAAATTCCCAAATATTCAGAAGCTAAATAACACACTTCTAATTGACCCATGTGTAATGGTTATTTTTACGTGTCAGCTTGACCAGGCTAAAGGATGCCCAGATAGCTGGTAAAATGTTATTTCTGGATGTGTCTGTGAGGGTGTCTCCATAAGAGACTAGCATTTGAATCAGCAGACTGAGTAAAGAAGGTCTGTGCTCACCCATGTGGGCAGCATCATCCAGTCCATCGAGGGCTCATATCAAACAGAAGGGCAGAGGAAGAGTGAACCCTCTCTCTTCTTGAGCTGGGACATCCGTCTTTTCCTGACTTCAGACACTGGAGCTCCTGGCTCTCGGGCCTTCAGTCTGCAGGACCTACACCAGCAGGGCCTGAACCTCCTCCCCTCCACCTCCTGGTTCTCAGGCTTTCAAACTCGGACTGAATTATACCACCAGTTTTCCTGGTTCTCCAACTTGCAAATGGCAGATTATGGGACTTCTTGGCCTCTATAACTGTGTGAGCCAATTCCTATAATAAATCCTTTTATATATATTTGTGTAGATCCTATTAGTTCTGTTTCTCTGGAGAACCATGACCAATACACCAAAGGTCAAAGCAGAAATCAAAGGGAAATAAAAATTATTTTGAACTTAGTGAAAATAAAAACACAACACAGCATATCAAAATTTATGGAATGTCACTAAAGCAAAACTTAAAGGGAAATTTATAGCACTAAATGTCTATATGAGAAAAGAAACTGGAAAAAAAAGAGCAAAGTACACCCAGAGAATCAGAAGAAGGGAAATAATAAATATCAGAATGGAAATCAATGAAATCTGAAACAGAAAAACAGTAGAGAAAATCAATGAAACCAAAAGCTGGTTCTTTGAGAAGATCAGTAAAATTAATAGAACTCTATACAGACTGATATGGAAACAAAAGAGAAGACATAAATTACCAATAAAATGAAAGAGGTTTTATCAAATAAAAAAAAATTTTTTTAATGAGATGACATCACTACAGATCCTACGAATATTAAAAGGATAATAATGCAATTTTATGAACAACATCATGCCAATGAATTTGATAATTTAGATGGAATGGACAAATTCTCTGTAAGACAAAAACTTCCAAAGCTCACTCAAGAAGAAATAGATAACCTAAACAGGCCTATATTTTAT